GTTGTGAAAAAGATTCGTGTAAGTCAACATTACCCAAAGGTATCTATAAAATTTTATAATTATTACAAAATAATAATTAGAATATTCTAGATTTGGTATTGTAACAAAAAGTTTAATTAAATCTCGGAATATGTATTGGGTTTATCTAAATTTTTATTTATATTATCTAGATAACATTTTTAATAAACTTTTATTAAACGTCATCTAGCATAGAATGTTCGTTGCCTGGATATTATTAATTCACATATATAAATAGATATTTAATATTACCTAATATTAACCCTTAAAGTTTAAGGCTTAAACAGTCGCGTGGGGTTCTAACATATCCCCACACAAATAAAAACGGATGTATTATATTGATTAAAGGTGTACATAGAAATAAATTTAGAAGATGGTTTTTATAGTAATATTGAATCGATTTTCATAAATAAATACCTTCGAAAAAAAAATGTATGACTTAAAATATTCATCAAAATTGAAATGGGTCATATTTACCCCCACGCGACTTGTAACAATATAATTTTTTTTTGGGCTTGTATTTTTTCAAAATATCGTTTTATCGTAAATGCAATGTTATAATCGATATAATATTGTGGAATTGGAATTAAGTTGATCTGCCACCGACTGTGCAATTTATTTTTAAAAATAAATAATCTATTGAGAATTTTCACTACTCGATGATACGGAACAAATAAGAACAAAACACGTAATAAATATGTCGCAATGTGGACACATTGATTATCGGTAATCGATGTGCTACTACGAACGAATAATTGTATATACTCGTATCATAATAATTAAATGTATTGTAATATTAATAATAAAAAAAATTCAATTCAGAAATATAATTATATAAATGTAAATACACATAAAACTAATAAATATAAGCCGTGTTTGAGCTCAAAGAAATACAAGAAAAATTAATTAAAATACATTTTGAAATAGTAAAAGGTTTGGTTTACCGTCTTAAAAATAAGATTTTGCAGTTAAAATAATTTTTTTACAAAACAATATTTTTTAAGGAAATTTTGAAAATTAAGTTTTTTTTTTTTTCGTAATATAATTTTTAGTAATGAACATAATTTTGTAATTTATTTATTTTTTAATTTTTATCCATATTTATATATCATATGGTAACAAATAATGTCTTTAAATTATAAAAAATGAACTTTTTTATACATATTTTATAATTTTTTAGAAATGGGGTTTGATAGACCCTCACGCGACTTAAAAATAGGCACGCGACTGCTAAAGGATTAAATATAATATCTCAATAAATTAAATTATTAAAATTCATACACTTTATACTGTATACAGGTGATTTTTTTATCTTAACCCACTCAATTACTTACAGAATAAATATAATTTAAACATTTTTTTTTGATTATCTTTAGTTACAAATTATTCTTGAATTGTTAACTATGTAATATTTTTAAGTTTATCCCTTATGCTTTGTAAGGGTGTCAGCTTTGTTTTTTTAAATGGGAACACATATTTTGAATTTAATAAAATGTTTGAGTTTTTAATTTAATAGTAAATGTCATTTGAATTTTTAATATAACTTTATTCGTTTATAAGATATAAACATTCAAAGTTTCAAATTTTTGAGTTAATATACATGTATAATACACAAGGGATTACAAATATAGGTAGCTAATTGATTTTTTATAACATCAATATTCGCAGGTACACATCATTGTTATTATCAATAGTAGTAAAGCACATTGTTGTGCGTTCATAAATACACTAACTGACATTATAAAAAGTATATCTATTGATAGTTTTATTTATAATAAAAAATCCGTGACTATGACAGTGATGTAATAAAAAAACAATTATTATAAAATTCATCAGAATGCTAATGGTATTAAACTCCAAACAATTTTCAATAAAGTTATAGACAAATTTTCCTATTGACTCCAATTATTTGAGCTTTTATAATTTATAACGCTATTGTTTCATTAAAAACTATTTATATTTTATTATTTGCGGATGATACTATAATTTTTAAATCATTTATTCATTATTCATTAATTTCAAAAAAATATTCAGCAGGTATTAAATAAATTTTTTGCCTTTTGAAAATGTTACATTCTATCAAAAGCTTTCGAATAATTAAGAATTTGTTTGTGTAATATTAATATTGAAAAATTAATTAACTATCATAAATTTTTTTAAGATTAATAATTTTTATATATATTTTAGGTGTCCATCTTAAAATTTTTTTAATTAAATTTTATGTCATTTAAAATTTAGAAGCAAGATGTGCGCCCTAAAAATTTATTTTTCATTTATCATTTTTCACAAAATGAAAAATGTTCACGTTGCCTTTTGAAAATTTTACATTCTGTCAAAAGCTATCAAATAATTAAGATTTTATTTATGTAATATTAATATTAAAAATTAATTAATTATCATAAACTTATTTTAAGATTAATGATTTATATATATATATTTTAAGATGGACATGTGTCTCTTATTAAAATAAAATAGATAAATAATTGATGCTTCATATAAATGTTAAAGGAAATTGCCTAAATTGTAATGAAGTTAAGCCAGTAGATAATTTGTTTGAATGCCATCATACATTTTGCAAAGGCTGTATAAAGCTTTTAATAAACAGTTATACTAAAATTTGTCCAATAGATGAGTGTAAACAAAGAGTACTTGTAGGTAATAATCTATTTTATATCTATTAATAATCAATTATTAAAATATTCTAAATTTTTTATAATTGCAAATACATTGATTTTTTGTTATCTACATAACAAATATTTAGTAGTAATATTGAGTTTAACGATTATCTCAATGTAAGGTGTGTATAAAGCGATGATAAGAGGGTAATAACAAACGATGATGATATGAAAAAAAAAGTGGAAAAAGTATTTTGAAAAATTACTGAAAGAGGAATATTCAAGAATGATATTAAAAGGATATCTTGTGAAACGAGTGACTGGTAGATTTAATTAATGTAAAAGAGGTTTAGGATCAGAAGAAGTACTGGTAAAATATGGATAATATTATGCGGAGTTTGTATAAGGTGTTTGCAGTATCTTTTTAATAAATTCCTATAGAAGGGAAAATGCCAAAAGAATGGAGGTATTATAATGTGGTGCCGATATTTAAAGCCAAAAGATATATATGTATGTATGTGAAAATTATACAGGCATAAAGCTTATGAGTCTTAGTATGAAGATTTAGGAAAAAGTAATAGATAAAAGAATAAGAAATGAGACATCGCTATCTAAAAACCAGTTTAGATTCATGCCTCATAAGTCAATATTTTGTTAATAGAAAAGTTTAGGGAAAAGAAGAAAATGTTCTGTATAGTATTTATGGATTTGGAGAAAGCGTATGATAGAGTACCGAGAGAAGTTTTAAAGTGGGCATTAATTAGAAAAGGAGTCTCGAAAAAATACATTAATATAATAGATATATGTATGATAGAGGATAGAGATTAGCGATGCTTTATTTTTACAATAATGTACACATAAGAACTTTCCTACTTTGCTTACCCCTACTCGACTAAAACTAAAAATTATAACGACTGAAAAAGTTAAAAAGCAATATTATTTAATATTGTATATTTAATATTATAATATAACTTAAGGAAAACTAGAGGTTCTCATTTAAAAAAAATTAATATTAAGGTTTATTATTCCCGAAGGAATGAAAAAATTTATTTAACGACATATTATTGTAGTTTTCTGAACCAAAAAATATTATCTTTTACAAAAATTAAAAAATTTTAATAGTTTCCGAGAAAAATAGTGTCTTATTCTTAATGAATTACCTTGTATAAACTACACCGTTTATTAGGTATTACTTTTTTATATTTATTTATATTTTTTATAATTTCCAAGAAAAATTAATATTAAAAAATAAATCACATTGTACATCTCAATATTTTTTTTTTATATTATTTATCTTATCTAAATGAGTTTTTATTTAAATGTATTCTATATTTACTGTAGATGTATTTTAGCTTATTTTCTCTTATACAGCTCGACACAATTATAATTAATTTAAAATATTGACAAAATTAACATATTTAGGTTCTCCTTATATAGATTAAAAATATATATATATTTGCAATATTCTTTTAGTGAATACTTTAATACAATGTAAAATTTTAATCACTTAATACAACCATGAATTAATTTTTTAAAAGTAATTGTCAAAATATGTTTTCATTTCATTACAGGACTGAAATTACGTAAGTATGAATGTTAAATATATTGTCAATAATTATACGTAATAACATAATAAAAGTATGTGTTTAACATTGATAACATTGTTCTTGAAATACGTGTCCGCAATTTTTTTGTAATTTTTATAGCTTTTTGAGTTAAATATGTTTTTTTATACTATAAATAAAAATAATTCTTTATATGCGCATGTTAAAATCTTTCTCGTACATGTTGATTTTAGTGGCTCATAGAATACAAATCTATGACTTACCCATAAATAGTCGAGAGGTACCTTAACAATTTTGTTGAAATCCGTTGATTTTATACCGAGTTTTGAAATTTTTTTTTAGTTTTAGATCGTTTGACATATTATTCAGGAAAATCGGTTATTTTGAGCTAAGTAATGAACAATTTGCAGTGATATACACAAATAATATATATGATAGAAATAATACTTTAAATTTAATCCTAAATTACAGTATAATATATTAATATATTTTATTTTCAGAAATATGTGGTGGCTGTGGAAAAGATTTTTTAAATACGAGCTTTTGCCTTCTCGTATCGAAATTGATTATTGTAAAGATTGTATTAAAGATGCAAAAAAAATAACTACTAGACATGATAAACCCAATTACAGTTTTAATCATTTACGTTAATTAACTTATCAATATTGAAATATTAACGATTTAATAATAAATTGATTTTTGTGTTATAATTTTTTGGTACTTAACACTATTACTTATGAGCTAACTTAATAGATTTACTTAATATTAAATACACATTTATTACCTAGGGGTTCTCCAAGATAATAGAATAGTTCTATTTATGCAATCATCTTGAGACACATAATTACAAATAGTTTAATAGACCAAACAGATTTATTTCAGAGACGTGCAACTATTACTACCAAGTCCCTCCTCTGCTCCTATTATATGTAATATTCATCACTAAATAACAGCGTATTAACTTTAAATGAATGCAATCAATTGCAGAATAATACAATCTATCAAAACCTTTGATTAAAATATTTAACTGTACTAAAGTTGACTCATATAAAAACGTTTACTTTTAACTAACGCCCTCTAAGGGAAGAAATTATGAATAAAAAAATTATATTAATACATAAATTGAAATATATATGTAATAAGTCTCACGTTGACCGCAATTAAATTGTCACATGACGCTCTTACCGGTCGATGTAATATTTCAAATTATCAAACTTAATATGTGGTTTTGCGAAATTAAATTTACACCATCCTAGGAAGTTTTAAATTTTACACATAGTACGTGCATTCAGTTTTACATTAAAGTGTTTCTTTAACGACTTTATTTAAATTTTATTAGTACTTTGTTATACTCCTTATCTGGTACGCCCAGTATTTGTGTCTTGCACCTCATACCTAGGTGTTACCCTGATTCCCTTCCTGTAACAACAGTCTTTCGACACCCACAGCTAACCCGGAGTGTCAGCCGAGCACGGTGACTGCTGTACGGCAACACGCACGTGAATACCTAACAGCAGGCACCACATCCTCATATTCATCTTCGTACACATCATTCAATTACATTCACATATCCACTTTTCTTTTATTGTGTTACGACAGCTCTTACCGGTCGATGTAATATTTCAAATTTTCCAACTTAATATGAGGTTTTGCGAAATTAAATTTACACCATCCTGGGAGGTTTTAAATTTCACACACAGTATGTGCATTCAATTTTACGTTAAAGTGTTTCTTTAACGTATTTATTTAAATTTTCGGTTTTTCCTAATTATTGCAGCGAACAGTTTTGCTACATTATCGCGAGTTGTCCCGGCTCGTGCCCTACGCACTCTATGGGCCACATACGCGCACGAGCATGTCAGATAAAACAGCTACTGAGTGAAAACCATTACTTTGAACGTACAAAACAACCAGTTTTTGTTCAATTAGTACAACAAAACTACTGATGCGATAAAAATCTGAAAAAAAATCTGAATTCAGTATCATGTCACTCAGGTTTCAATCAGGCCACTTTTTTTAAATTGTGATTCCTTTAACGCAAACATTTATTTTGAATCAATTAAAAGTATTCAAAAAGGTAATCTGTGTTTAAAGGTTAAAAACATCAAAATTTCATTTTTGATTAAAAAGCAGTCGATATCCAGACGCCTTAACTTGTATTGTGATTTAAATTAAAGTTTAACAGCTATCTATTAGTTATCTATGACAAAAAAATAATAACAATATAATTGCATTTATATTATTTTCTGCAAATTAAAAAAATATTTTAAAAATTTTTCATTCTAGTTTAATTTTTTTTAACTTAAACTTTTGAAATTAAAAATTATAAATTTAAGGTAAGCTATTGGAGCTTAATTATTTACAATTAATATCTTGATATTTAATTTTAAGTTCATAAATTATTTAACTAAGATAAACATTTTTCTGGTTCAAGTATTTATAAATTTATGGATAGTTAATTCTGTATAAATAAAATAAATATATTCAATCCTCAGAAAATTATTTGAATTTAACGTAGAGTGACTTAAAAAAAATAGTAAACTATTAAAATAATTTAATTATTTTGAATAATATGTCTAAAAATATTCTTTTAAACGAATAAACACTTTTCCTGATGATATGTTAGTTGTATTTACTGATGGTTCTCTAAATTCATTGATATTGTTACGTCACTATTTAAGGGTTGAGCCTAAATGCCCGTCAACAGTATTCTAAGGGACTAACGGGAGATAGCTAGCTAGGCTATATCTACCTTAGGTACTGGGGTTTCCTATTTAATTTATATTCCCTTAGTGGAACTATCAAGGGTCGCACTACAATAAATATATATAACACTCTTTGTTAACAACAATTCAATAATTTATTAAGTAAGTTAAGTGAATAAACAATACAACCTGCTGGACACCTGGAGATGATATAATCCAACAGTGAGCTGACGGCGACAAGTAATGGTTGCGATAATGGTAAAAAGTCAACTGCCGTTAAGGATATTAGTTTTATGGCACGTTGGCCGTGAATTCCAAAAGTGTTTATGTGTGCAGTCTACCCTTTTGTAGTAATACGTGTGTCACTGATATAAGCCTAGTCGGCGTTACAATAATATGGGACATGATCACTCTTGAACATTAATGTTTTTAGGTACTTCATAAGCTGCATAGTGTGGATTATAATTATTTAATAAAATTTCTCTGGCTAAAATTAATACATTGATACTTTTTACAACAACTATAAATTCTATTTTAAAAAGATTACAACCATTATGGTGTTTCCTCAAATATAAATTATACTTATAAGACATTTTTATTAAATTGTACTTCTCTGCAGATTATATTATCTGCTGGATTCACACTAGTTTTAATTAAAATTTCTTTTTCAAATGACAATGAATTAAATAAATGTTTTTAACATATTATAAGGTCTGGTTTATTTTAATCTATTATATAACCTGCAAATCTAATTTTAATTTTTTAGCTAGCATTAATGTCACATTGCGTTTAGATGAAGAAACCCGTATATATGTTTTAAATTCTTTATGTTTACATTCAAACCTAAAGTACAAAAATGTCTCAGTGGCTCTGACTCTTTAACTATTTTTGGATAATGCACCATCAAGTGGTGCTTTGGTATTAAGGTATCATTAAATAAATAAATACAATTTTCATGGTGCTGTTTTTTTTATCAAGTCAGTAAGCAATAAAATTTTACTTATAGAAAACGTCCACATTTCTCTTGCTGACATTTTTAATCGAAAAGAATCTACGTGTTGAGAGAATAGGTGGTGATATGTTATGAACTTCTAAAATACCATAATTGAATATAACTTTCCTATTGTTTAGTTTATCTAAAGTAATAATTAAACTGTAACTGTTAGATATTTGAGTAAGTGACACATGTTATAATGGCACATCCCTTCAAAAATATTATGCATAATATCTACACAAAGGTTATTAATTACATGAAAACTATTAATTTTGTTAAGAATAGACTCTTCTTAAATACCAGATTCTTTAAAATTTAAACTGGCCGTATAATTTTATAATTATCAACAGTTTTAAGTAATGATGAGTTTTTAATAGACATAATTTTAGTAGGTCCTTAATGTGCTTTACACTAACAAAAAAAAAAAAATGCTGTTGACTACAAGGTTATCTCCTAAAACTAAACCAAGAATGAAATATACTTTCAACTGTCCAACGTTAGTTGTTATGGTTGTTCCTTCTTTTTCAAGATAATTAATATCTTTAACTAAATTAGTTAAACATTTATCATTGCTAAACATTTTAAAATCAGCTGATTTAACTAAAGATGCTAATAATATGTTAGATATCATAGAATTATTATTATGAAGCGTAAAGTTACAATAAATTGTAGCAATTGATTGAAATTTAGAACGCGAGCCTATAGGATTATTAATTTCCAAATTATCAACATATAAAAAAAGGGAAAATAATTTTTTCTTCATATAGTACAATTTTTTGTTTCCAAAGTCCACCTTGTATAAAATTTGATATTTGCCCGTATTATTTGGTTTTCAATCATTCATATTATTTAACATTTTTTTATAATTATTACCATGTTCAAAAAGTGTTTTAAATTGAAATCTTAAAGGCAGTAACACTGCTCTAGTGTGATATTCATTATATAATGCTATGCCATTTACTTGTACTATGTTTATTTCATTATTTATAGTAAACTGTGTTAAATTTTCAAAATAACTATTTTGTTTTAGCTATGAAGTTAATAAATAATCATTATAACAATGACAAAAAAAGGATCTTTTATGACTGAATTAACACGAAAAAACTTATCTTTTATTAATAGTTAATCAATTTCAGTTTGCACAACTTTTTTATGCATATCAGCCATAGGTTCAAATATTAAATTTTTTTTAAATCTTTTTTATAGTAGTAATATCTTAAAAAGTAAAATTATATTTACATACAAATTCATAACAAATAAAACTGATAATTTACTAAAAGCATTAATACATTACTTTAAATCTAAATTATAGTCTTTTTATTATTTAAGACTTCATATGTTATATGAATTGTTTATTTGTGTTTCTGGAATAGAAAATTCTATCAAAGCTGCAGTATTTTTTAAAGAAAAAAAGATTTAATTGGGTGTGATTATTAAGAAGATGCCTTTTAAACGTAAATAAATTAAACATTTGTCTATTAAAAAAAAAAAAAGTTTTTCTTGAAACCCGTGATTGTTTTAACGCGCAGATAGGCGTTGTACATATCTGCACGCGAGTCATGGTCTAGACATAAAGTCTGTATCCAATACACTCTCCAAGTGGCAGATCCATTATCACAAAATGTTATAGGAAATGTTTAAGGAAAATAATATTACTATCTTTTAAATAGTATTATTGTTTTGTTGGGCCATTGATCAAAATATTTATTTACTAATTCATTGAAACCACGTGTTTAATAATTTAAAAAGTATAAATATGATATATATTATATTATATAAATTATTATTAAAGTATTATTATTATTTATCATATACATAAATACAGATTGAGTCACGTGTATATAATTTTTGTTTAAATTAAAGGCGTTTAATGGTACCCAAAATGACTGGTAGTTTACCTACGCGAAGGATAAGTGTTGAGATTTAATTATTCAAAGTGGCTATATTGGAATAATTGTGGTTTTTTTTTGTTTTTAACATTATTAAAGTTTTTTTTCTTTTCTGTTCAGTTAAGTCACGTTGTTTTCGTAATTTATAAAATTACAATAATACATTTTGTCTACTATTATGTTGTATTATAAAATAATAATAAAAACAAATTTCAATATAATAATCATATGAATGTTATTGTAATAGGTTGTGGACCCCGTCTCATTGTTTAGATTGTAATTATAGGGAAATAATGGTCAATTATTTTTGTTAAGTTGTCAGTTTTAAGGTAGGGTTGTCTAGTTAGTGTAATCATGGATATTGTCAGGTCACAATTGGAAATACTGTCTAAAAATTTACAAGGAAGTGTAAATTATGTATCGTGGAGATTTAAATTAAATTTAACATTAAAATCAAAAGACTTTTTCTTAGTAGTAACTGGAATCAAAGTAAAGCCAAAAGGTTCTGATTCGTCTGCTGAAGTCGCTCAATGGATTAAGCAAGACCTTGAACCACAAACTATAATAGTTCTAAATGTCAGCAGTAATATTGCCACTATAATAGCAAATTGTACTACAGCAAAAAAAATGGTGAATAAATTGGAAATGCTATATGGTAAAAAGTCAGATCTTACTATTGAAGGATTACAGGGAAAAATTTTTAGTTTTAAATATGATGAGAAAATAGATCAGCAATTCAAAATTGTATGAAACTGCAACAATATGCTGAGAAATTGGCTGCTGCAGGTAAAGAAATTAAAGAAAGTTGGGTTATGACAAGAATTTTGGAAATATTGCCACCCAAACTGCATCATTTTCGTACTGCATAGTATAATGTAAGTGGTACTGATAAATACTTGCAAACAATGTTTGAACGTTTGCAACTAGAGGATGATAGACAGACTGAAGAAAACAATCTAAATGGATCAACTTTCACAAATGATTTAATAGCAAAGCAAGATAAGAAATATTCAAAAATACAAAAGTCAGAAACTCCTTTGAATGTTTAAATGTGGGAAGAAAGGACATATCAAAAAATATTGTTAAAATAAACCATGTGATAAATATATAGAATATTGTAAGAAAAATGATGGGTGCAATAACTACAAATATAAGGGGTTATTTTGCCAAAGACTGCCCGAATAATGGTACTAAAATTAAGTCTGAAAGAAATGAAGTTAGGAACCAAAATGGCTAAGTACTCATTTCTATTTGTCTATTGTCTGCAAATATTAATGAATTAAATAATCATTTGGATGGTAATAGTTCACAATATCAAGATTGTGGAGCAACAAAACACATGACTGCCAGAAAGTATTGGCTTGCGAATCTAAAATTATTTGAAAAGTCAAAAACTGCTGTGATTGGTGATTCTACAGAACTTGAAGGTATTGGAGTGGAGGTTCATCTAGAATCTTTTAATGGATGTGAATAGTACTAAATTGTCTTGAAAAATGTTTTAGCTTCGATGCGAAGCTGAGAAGGTATTGGTTTTACTATGATGTGTTTTTTTTTTTTTTTGTGCCTGTTACCACTTTTTCTAAGCTCTCACCGAACGGATTTCTTTCAACGATACGTCAAAAGATCACAAATCGTATCTAGTCAAAGACATTACCCTTAAAAATTGAAAAAAATTCTCCCGTTCCCCGTAAATGGGGGAAACATCCAAAAAAATTACAAATTTAAAAATCGCTAATTTTCGAAATTTTTTCAATTTTTTTTACTAAAATGTGCCGTAACTTTATTTTTGAAAAAGTATAAAAAAAAAAAAAATATATATGAAAATATAATTTTTTTTTTATAGATACTTGATGTTTTTACTTATCATTTGGTATAGTTTTTTTTTGTAAATCTGACACTTAACCTGCCCACAGGGGGGGATTTAAAATGACAACTTTTTCACAATAAATTTACTTTTTCAACATAACTTTTGAAAATGTTCCGAAAGGTCTGACACTTATATATATATTTATATATATATCTTAAATTAAAGCTAATGTAATATACTTTATTATGAAAAAAAAAAATTTGACCTCTGGACTTGTCTTCATGGTGAAAATGGCTATCGAATGCTATTTTTGTGTGAAAATTCTCGATTTTATTTTTCACATTTTTAACTTTATAATGCTATAACTTATTGAAAAGTGTATTTTTTAAAATTAAACACTATCTAAAGATTTGCATCGAAGCGTTTTATTTTGATAGTGATTTTAATTACTGTCAAATATCATTATACTTGATCCAACTATGCCGCAACACCCCTGTGCTGGGTTTTTTATTGTACCAAAAATGACTTTCAACCTTTTTTCGGTGGCGCAAGAACTAGACAAAGGATTTATCCAGTCAGCAGATTTATATAACTCTATATTCAAAACATCAAATGACGAAGAAATTGTAACCATTGAAAAACGTGATGGAAATCTATACAAAATGATGTTTCATCAGGGAAACAAAAATAAATGTTTGTCAGCTATTTCTATAAAACCATGGCATGAAATACTCGCTCAACCAAACATTAAATATGTCAGGGGTATTTTAATTAAACATAGTATTAAATATATTGATGACTGGAATAATTATGTATGTTCTGGATGCGTTTATGGTAAGCAACATTATGTTTCTCATCCGGTAAATTCATAAGTGTTCGAACATATTTTGGATATAATTCATATCGACATCATATGTGAAATGGGTATCATGTCACTAAAAGGTGCTAAATATTTTCTGTTATTTAAAGATTATTTCTCACAATATCGTACTGTCTATTTTTTGAAAACAAAAGATGAAGCTGTAGGAAAACTTGAAATATTCATGAAAATTATAGAAAGTCAATTAGACAAGAAAGTTTAATGTCTAAGGTCTGATCATGGTACTGAAATAAAAAATGCTTATACATAAAGATTATTGAATAAACTTGGTGTATTTCATTCCAATTCAAATGTTTATACTCCTTAACAAAATTATCATAAACGAGTTAAAACTGATAAGAAATCAGAGAAAGGAATACTTGTTGGATATGACTTGGACACTCCTTGTTATAGAATTTATCTGTCAGGCAGATAGGATGTCACAAGCTCAGATAATGTAATTTTTGATGAAAAGACAGACAAAAATCAAACAATTATGGAAATTATATTTGATGAAAGTCAAACTGCAAATTCAGGAAGAGAATCAGATTCAGCAAGTTCTAACGATGAAAGCAAAAGTGAAGAATATCAAGAAAAAGTTCAATCGTTCAAATCTACGACAACGTAAAACCTTGAAGAAGCCTGAAAAACTGAATGATTATGAATTTTGTTTCAATTAACAAGTTAGATATGGCTAAGATATGTGAGGTTGAAGATATCTCTGTTTCTGAAGCGTTTAATGATGAAAAATGGAGAAAAACAATGACAGAAGAATTTAAGTCACTTGTAAAAATAAATACACGGAATTTGGTTAAACTGCTAAATAACATCAAATCGCTTACTTGTCGTTAATATTACGTAAAAAGCAAGATTGTCGATACAAGGCCAGACTTGTTATCAGAGGTTTTGAACAAAAGAAAGGTATTGATTATACTGATACATTTAGTCCAGTAGCTCGTTATGTATCAATTGGACTGCTTTTAAGTCTTGCTGCATCNAATAACTTGGAGACCAGACTATAGAACCAAACTCAAGGTGAGGTCTGACTAGAGAAAAGAATAATGTTTTGAATGTATTAAAGTTCTTTAAATTATTCGTATTTCTATTTAAAAACCCTAACATTTTAAAGGTTTTTTTAATAATGGTATTAATATGAATTGAAAAAGACATTTTACTTTCAATAACAATTCCTAGGTCTCTAACAGAATTGACACGCGTTATAATGCAGTTATCTATTTTATAATTACACTTGATTTCTATATCTATTTTAGAAAAAGAAATAACATTACATTTACTTATATTTAAAGGTAGGCGATTTTGATGGCTCCAATTTATAAAATTATCAAAGTTCGATTGTAATTTTAATGTATCGTCTAGAGATCTAAATTTTGAGAAAATCTTAGCATCATCAGCAAATAAAATAACTTCAACTGAGCTATCAAATATTGCAGGGAGATCATTTATAAATAATATAAATAGGAGAGGGCCCAGATGTGAGGCAATCCAGAATTAACTAAAAAATTATTTGAAACATGACAAGATAATTTTACTGCTTGAGTACGTGAACTAATATAGGATTTTATCCAACCCAAAAAACTACCGTGGATTCCGAAAGAAACTAATTTATTTAAAAGTAGGCTATGATTTACTTTAACAAAAGCTTTCTGGAAATCGGTGTATATTGAGTCTAATTGGACATAATCATTAAGAGAATCAAGTATCTTTGACTGAAAAATGTGGTTAAGATTGACATTTTAGATCTAAATCCATGTTGATTTTTACAGATTTATGGCGACATTAGTTTAGTTAATTTATTTGTTATAATCGCTTCAAATATTTTAGGTATATGTGATAATTTAGAAATTGGTCTATAATTTGAAACATTATGCATATCTCCTTATTTGTGTACTGGTGTGATAAACGATTTTTGCCATATATTGGGAAAATAACCTAAATTTAAAGATCTATTAAAAATTAGATGAAGTGGCTTAATTAATACAAAACTAAACAATTTTAGAAATATTGATGGTACACCATCAGGTTCCGTACTCGTATTCATATCTAAATTATTTAATAACTCTTGAATTTCATTTTGATCAATAGACATGGAGCTTAAATTAACATTTATATTATTCATTAAAGACGTATATAAATTTTCTTGGGACTCTTCATTAAAGATTCTTGAGTCAGTATCATAAACACTGGAAAAGTAGTTAGCAATTAATTAAGCTGTTTCATAGATGTTTGAAGATGAGTGGTTTTGATATTTAACGCAATCTGGTACTACATTATTAGTTTTTTTCAGTGAGTTCATATATTTCCAAAAAGGTTTAATATTTGTTTGGATTCCGTTTTCTAAATTTGTGATAAATTGTGTATGGGAGAGAGATTATAATTTTTTGCATTTCTTGCGGAGATTAGAGAAAATAAGATAATCTTAACGAGAATGACTAAGTTTAAATTTTTTATGAGCACATTTCTTATCAATAATGAGTGTTCTAAGCTCAGCATTTGCCCAAACAGGTGAAAAATTATTAAATATTTTTGTTTTGGGTATAAATAAAGAGAATGTATGATAAATTATTTCATAAAATTTATTTATTTGAGCCTCAAAAGTTAAAGTATTGTCTAGATCAAGTTCAAAATCGATGTTTGATAGAAAAAGAGAAATTTTATTGAAATCACAATTTTTGAAATTATACACTAGTGGAAGCTCATAAGAATTTTGTAAAAAGGGATCAGTAAATTTTATATTTAACTCTAAAGGAGGATGAAAATCATCAATTATTGGAACGAGGGATTCAGATGAATGAACAATAGAAGTAAGTTCTACATCAGAACTAAGAAATATACAATCAAGAGTACGACCTAAAGAGTTTTTAATGTAATTACATTGTTTTAAATTTAAAAGATTTACAAAATAATTATATAGTATATCTCCAAAGACATTACCTTGAATACTTGATTCGATAGACCAATCGTAGCTATTTAAATTAAAATCACCAGTAATAATAAAATGGTAATCAGGATAGTTAAAATATATAGACTCTATAACATCACATTGTTTAAAATACATTTCAATAGTTGCATCAGGTGGAATATACACACAACCTAAAACTATTTTTATTTTATTTACAGTGAATTTTAGAAATAATTGTTCGATTCCAGTTACAAGAGGAACATTTAATAATTCACAACATATTTTTTTATTTATTGCAATTAACACACCACCACCACGCAGTTTACCGTACGACAAATTACGATCATCTCTATATAAATTATAATTATTAAAACCAAGTTCCGCATCAAAAATATTATAATTTAACCATGTTTCATTTAAACAAACTATATCATAATTCACATTTAATAAGGCATTTCGTAAAAAATTTATCTTTGTTAATAGACCACGAACATTTTGAAAAAAAATATTAATTATAAAAAATTATCATTTCGGAGATTTACTGAACGGTTATTTTTTATAACAATTTTCGGTGTTCCTTTCACATATTTAATAATTAGATCAGATTCGCCATTATTTTTACGAGTCTCCAATTCACAGTGGAGTTTTTTCATATAATTCCTTTGATGCAGCGTGCGGTCCGAACTGATTCGAATAATAGAAGGCGGTTGTAATGATAACAATGTTTTCTTAGATTTTAAGATATCAAACGCTTCAGCTGGTGAAGCAAATATAGCTTTTATCGGGCGAGTATTATTCTGGTCACGGTTACCCAATCGGATAACTTTTAAAGGTTTAATAATATTTTCACCACTACTTATTGAACTGATAACATTACATACCAAATTAGAGTCTTGCACAATTTTATTAGTTATGTTATCTGACTTGGACTCTGGAACATTGTATAGAATTAAATTTGACGCTCTCATGTTACGCTCACTTATTTCGTTGATTATGAACTCTTCAGAATTGTCTGATGTATAAATAGTGACTTTTTGAGTTTTAAGATCGTTTACTTCAGTAATTAAACGGTTAATAATTAATTTCAGTTCGGGGAGTTCACTAAAAAGCATTATAACAGGCTACACAAAAGAATTTCAAACTACGATTTTTTAATGTTAGACATTTAATTTCACTCACTACTAAACCAGAACACTTGTTATGTACAGACAATTTGCAGCCATCACATTTGATAGGATAATCCAGTTCGGCAAATCCAAGATTACATTTATAACAAACCTCACTATTACTTAAAGACATTATAGAAATTAATTTACAGTAATATAAATTTTATATTATAAAGAAAATTTATTTTATTTTACAGTTAAGAAACACACAACCTATTACCTATTATCTATTACACAACCTAATTTATTAATAATAATAAATTTACTTCATGAATTCTTTGCAATATTTCTCATTGAACATGTGCAGGTTATATATTTCGACGTATATCTTATCTTCTTCTACGACCTCTCCGAGCCATTTGTGGTGCTCGCCGGACATTAACTGCCAATCCTAAAAATAGTTATAACAATAAATATAAGTTAATAAATGTTCAAATATACTTACTTTCTTGTTGTATATTTTCCCGATGTTCTTTTATTTCATTCCCAAGAACATTACAAATATTAGTAATGAAGTTATCCATAGATAGGCATAGGGTTTCGGTTTGAACTGAAGTTCGACAAAGAGGACACACATTATTTTCTCTCAACCAAGTATTTAAACAAATTTCACAAAATGTATGGCTGCAATTAATTGTACACGCCTAAAAAAAAAACAAATTTACATATTAAATTTTATATAAAATATTCATTTTCACAATTTATGACTAAATTTTATTTATTTCCCAATGATAATGAGATATTCATAATCATTTTTTAAATCTAATTAATGGATGCGTAAAATTCAACTTTTCTTGAACTAAAATTTTGTTGTAATATACACAATGCTCTGCATTACGCATCTTACATTTATCAATATTTAATATTTAATTATTAATATAATTATATTCAATATATCAATATTTAATACCAATTGTATACAAACAAATAATTAAATTATCTGTCATAACATATACACATTTGTACACCAGCTATTACATATTTATATACATGTGTTAAATTGATTATTGTATACTATGCATCTTATCTTAAACTAATTATCATGTTCAAATTTTATACAATAAACTGAAAATCACTAAAAGCGCTGGTGGCAACACCCCATGATGGGGGCAATTAAAAATAATATAAAAAGGCGCTGATTTTCTAAGAGACCTTCAGTTCTCTCTTCTTTTTGAAGATCTGAATTCAATAAGGAATTCAGAATTCTTCTAACTGATTTATTTTGATCAAACTAGCAGCGACCCCGTGTTTTCGTCGGTACATTTTAAAGCGATATCAAGTACAATTATTTTTGTGTCAATACTTTATTTATTTATTAAAAAGGAAAAGTATAAATCCGAACGTAAGATATATAAAAGAAGTAGGTAAATTTATATTAACCCAATTATTTAGAATTAATAATCTGAGTAAAGAATGATAAAGCAACAGATCACATATTCAAATTTTCTTAATTGTTACTGACTAGTTCGTACTTTGTACATAATCACATTACATGGTATTCATGAGATGGCCACCGCCTCTTCGTTGCCTCAGTGCATTATTTCAGGTACTTACCAGTTAGGTCATTTTTAATACCTCTATGAGAGGAACTTAATACAAATCTTTTTATATCTACTAGTCTTTACTATTCTAAACCCTCGGACTCTACAACCCCGATAGTACCTCGATGTAATATTTTTCATTTTACCTAAATTGCATTTTATCTTCAAAAACAAACAAATTTACTTTAAAATGTGACACATCATGGTAATGTAAATATAAGTAAATGAAGTAATTTTAAAATCGTTTTTTATCTTAGACGATTAAGCAAATTTTATTTTAAATTGAAAATTTGTGTCTTCATATGTTTAGCAATCATATTAATTGTTAGTTCAAAATAAAAATATGTACATTTACCGAAAGAAAAGCATTTTAAATTACTTTACTAGATTTTAAATATGAATTTTATAATTGATTTTTAAACACATTAATTTACTTTTTCAACTAATAAAAAATAAATTTTCATCAGCAGTAATATTTTTAGTTAAAATATTTTAGCTTTACTTTTCAGAAATTTTATTTAAAATTCTAGGATTAGAAAGTTCAAAAAGTTTTCAGATATCTACTATCACTTTATAATATTTAACAATCTTAAAATTGATTAAAAAGTATTCCATTATACATTTTTTAACCAAAGTAACATAATAAATTTGCTAAGAACTTTTAACATGATGACGTGTTATATTCACACTATTAATGAATAAAAATGTAAAAATAATACCTTAACCATTAATTCATTACAAATCGAACATTGCAAATCACTTTCTAGAACGCTATAAACCTTTTTTTTGATCGTTTCTTCAATTTTTGATATTTGATCTAAAAAATAATTCAAACAAAAAAATTAACTTCTCAAAAAAAAAAAAGATAATAATTAAAGTATGTTGAAGCTATTAAATGACTTAACTTATATATAGTAATATATAAGCCCAAAATTAATTTTAACCCCATTACGTGAACTCCATTCAAAAAATAAATAAATGGTGTTCATAGGTTATTCACTTATATATTTTATACAGGTAAAAGTCAGGTAAATAGATTAAGACACAGTATATTTCATGTTATATACTAAGAATATCATGCGACTTTGCTTAAACAGGTATAAAATTAAATAAAGTAAGTTAAAAATCACCTTGTTGTATTTTTAAAGTATTTTCGTAATCTAAATTCTTTCTTGTTAATTCATGATTAGCGAGTTTATGCTGCGGAAAAAATTTTTTTTAATATGATTTAATACAAAAATATACGTTAATAAAACATGATTTTAGAACTAATTTAAAAACTAATACAATCTATATGTATATATATATATATACATTTTTTTTAGCTTCAGACAATTATAAACAAAAAAATTATCATATACTTTTTCATTTAAACAAATATTTTTCGAGTTACATTACATTTAATACGAGTACTAAAATTTATTTTTCATTTTTTTCATTTTACGGTTACTTTTTATCATGTTACACTTACGTTAGACACAATGTTATAAATGCATATGTGTGTATGTGTGAGTTTATTTATTTATTGTATCATTAAAGTGTAGTGTATATTGAGATACAACCGATAGAGTAGGTAATTGATTTGACGCTATATTATTTAAACCCAACTAAACGCTAAATTGTACATTCCCAAACAACAATCATATTATGTCAATGGCCACCGGAATTTCTGGTAATATTTTTCTTTTTCTTTGCCTTAATCCCAACTACTTGGGGTCAGCCACCCTTATCCTAAGCTTCCACTTGACACGATCTCCCACATCTTCTACGCTCACATCAGCTGTCCTCAAATCGCAATCAATAGCATCCCTCCATCTCTTTTTTGGTCTTCCTCTATCTCTTCTTCCTTCAACATTCATTTCTATAACTGTTCTTACAGCTTTCGATTCTTCTTTCCTCATACCATGACTAAACAATCTAAGTCTATTTTCTGTCATCTTATCCACGATTGACGCAACACCTATACTTCCTCTTATATGCTCGTTCCTTATCCTATCTTCTCTAGTCACTCCACTCATCCAACTAAGCATTCTCATCTCTGCTACACTTATTCTCTGCTCTACTTTCTTATCAACCGCCCAACACTTTGAACCATACTTCATAGCTGGCCACACAATTTTATACTAAATTTAAAAACTATAATTAGTATTTATTCATATATTATATTTTAAAATCAAAGAACTACTAATCAGGATATAATTAAAGAAATAAGAGTTCATGTTGCTTTTAAAATATTTCACCAATTTCTCTAAAGGAAACACTATCTACAGATTTGCATCGAAGCGTTTCTTATGATAGTGATTTTAATCACTGTCAGATATCATCTATACTTGTCCCATCTATGCCTCGTCCACACTGTGCCTCGACCCCACTGTGCTACCGTTTTTTTTTTTAATTATAGTAAATGTTAATAAAAAAAATTATTATTATGTGAAAATAATACAATATGTATTAACCAGTGGTTAAGTTATTTTTACTTAAAATATATTTACTTTTAGAACTGTTTTTTTCAATTTTTTAATTTTTTTTGATGCTTGATTAATTATTTCATTAAATTGATCAAATTTAGCATTTAGAAAACGCTTCATTGATGCTTGTTCACTTTTCAGCTAAAATAAATCAACTAATAATTAAAAAATTGGATTTAAATAAGTAATACGGTCACATTTTGTGCACAAATCTTGGTTCAGTCAATTACATTTAACAGCTTGGTCAGCATTCATGCTTATTACAGATAGATATACAGGGACCCGCTGACAATGTTAATATACATATTCTTATAGAAAACTGTTTGTGAAAATGTAGTGCAACAAGCAGTTGAGACCTACCATATGAATGTTTAATATCTAATTAATATTATTTGAACTTATTATTATTATTTAATTGTGATTTAAAAAATTATAATTCTCATGATGTTTATAGCACATTGTCTTCTCCCTGATGGACATTCTTAACATAACTTGAATCCATAGATTATTATTTTATTTTATTTTATTATTATTTGAATCCATTATACTTTAATTATTTTTTTCTAATGTGATATGTACTAATTAAAATGTTGGGTTACTGTTAACAGGCATATGAGATATGTACCCAAATAGGGTCGTATCATAAGTAAAAATTAAAAATAAATATATAATTTTTGTATTCATTTAAAGAAATGAATTGTAAAAAAAAAGATCATCCACAGAATTAAAACTTACAATATCGTCAACATCAGATTGACTTTCACTAGATTCATTTTCTTCACTAGATACTTCATTATTTCGTCTGAAAAATAAATACAATTAATTAAAACATCTAACTTTATAAAAATTAAACACAAAAAGCAGAGTAATACGGAAAAACAATGAAACACAAACAGCACACAAGAAAAAGGCAAACCAGTTAAGGTCAACGTCGGAAACGATATTTGTAGACAAATTGTCGCATCATACACAGTAGTTATAAGTAATTAACAATTGTTGACTTACCGCCATGTTCCTTGTGTGTGTGGTTATTGATATTGCGTTCAACACTTACCGTATTAGACTGAAACGTTCAGTCTCGTTGCCAAGAGGGGCATTGGGGGCGCCGGTGTAGCTGGTGGACGGTTGGCCGCTTCTCTCAATATCGTCAAAATCAGATTGACTTTCACTAGATTCATTTTCTTCACTAGATACTTCATTATTTCGTCTGAAAAATAAATACAATTAATTAAAACATCTAACTTTATAAAAATTAAACACAAAAAGCAGAGTAATTTTAAAAGAATAGGGTATATATGAATGAAATATTTTAAGCATNTTCTTGTGTCAGAACCAAAGAGGGAAAAAAAAGGAGGAAACTCCTCGGCGGATTACTCGGGACGAGGGGTTTCACGGTGGAAACTGGGAGGAGAAGGAGAGTCTGCAAGGAACCCGTCCACGGCGCGTCCCAAATCGTTCACGGCGTCCTCGACTTCCATGGGGGACGGTCCAGCTGTGGTGCTTGTTGCTGTGGAAGAGTGTCGCACGTTCTCCGACAGTGATGGTGGACGGGTCCTTGGCGCTGGTGTAACTGGTGGACGGTTGGCCGCTTCTCTCTCCCGATCTTTCCTCTCCTTGAGGGCCCTTCGGGTTTCACGGAGGGTAGCCTCGCGGCCGTCCCTCATCCCCCGATTGTAGAGTACGCTCGCGATCGCACAGTGGTCTGAAATCGAATTTTAGGCGCTCATATGTCTCATTTTAAAATGTACTCATAATGTTAAAATAATTATGAAAATTCAATTCTAGTATATTGCGTAGACAAAATATAAAATTTCAAGGTCACATGTTAATCCGGTCGTTATTTATAGCCGTTTGAAGTATAGATATGGTTATATTACAGTTATTTCAACATAAAAAAGGTCTTTCGTTGTTAAGTTTTCTAACAAGTTAAAAAAAATTTTTTTTGATTAAATAATGATCGTTTTAATAAAATAGAGCATTTTTTGAGGCGTTTTTGAAACTAAAAAGCACAATACTAAAAATTACCCTATTTTACCCAAGTATCAATGCATAGATATTGTAGAGCAACTAGTCTAGATTTCAAAAATATAATTTTTTATTGCGACGGACAAAAATAACTGTGCATAAGACTAATAAGATTAAATCAATTCGAACATTTTTTATTTACAATTAGCTTTCATTTATTTCAATTTCTAATATTGAATTGTTTAGGTTATTTATTTAATCTTCAACGTTCGATTCGGAATTGACAAATAAATTTCGCACATCAATAGAAAATTAATTTATACTTTTTTTTTTAATAATTTCATTGGAGATATATATGGATCACTTGATACTAATAGCATGTGCATCAAATCTTTTTTGGTATTATACCTGATACTTTCTTACTGGCGTAGGATATGATTCTTCTCTCTCCCGGTTCATCTCCGCGTTGAACGAGTATTGCTTCCACGCTCATTACATTCGCATCGGTTTGAAGGCAGAAAGTTTTGGCGCAGTCAGGAGGACTCAGACGTGGGGATTCACACAGGGCCTTTTTTACCTGTTCTAAAGCCCTTTGATGGTCTTCCGTCCACAACCATTTCGTTCCCCATCTTAGTAGATTTTTCGGCGTCGCTATTGTTTCAGCGTAGTTGTTGACGAATTAATAATACCAATTAAATATGCCGAGACATCTACGTAGATATTCCGTGGGACCGATAGAACGCTGATGGACTCGAGTTTTTCGGGCTGCTTGTCTATGCCCTCACCGTGTACAATATGACCCCAAAAAGAAATTTCGGGAAACCCTATTTTACACTTTTTTGAGTGACATGTCAGTCCGTGTCACTCTAATCGTTCTAGAACTTTGCCTAAATGTTCTAAATGCTTTTCTAAACTACTTGAATAAATAATTATATCGTCCAAGTAAACTTGGACGAAATCATCTAGATATCCTTCAAGTACATAATTCATAAGTCTTACAAAAGTCATAGATGAATTTTTGAGTCCAAACATTAGTACATGAAATTGAAACAAGCCCCTACTCGTTCTAAATGCCTTAAACTTACGACCTTTTGATTTAAAGAACATTGCCAATAACCCGACTTTAAGTCGATAATCTATACATAAACGAAAAGTCCCGTTCTTCTTCTTGGCCAACACGATCGGTGCTGACCACGGCGATACACTCGGTTCTATTAGCCCATGCGCCTCCATGTCGTTTACCATATCGTCAATAACCTCCTGCTTATGTAAGGGGTAGGGATACGGTTTTAGTGCGATAGGAGCGGGTCTTTCAATAGAATGTCGTGTTCGATCAATTTTGTGCGACTCACCGTGTCGTTGAAGACCGCTGCGTAATTACATATCGTCTGTGTTAATAACGTCGCTGGTTATATTTAACTGCGTCAGATGTGGTTTGCGGATCGCGTGTCGTGCGCCCGATTTCCAACAAGCGGTTGTACGTTTCCTATTGCCTAAGTGTATTGTTCCTGCTGAGTAGTCCCAGGCAACTTTCTGATCAATCAGAAAATCACGGCCAAGTAATACGTCGCAATACAGGTCGTCTAAAATAACCGCTGAAAAACGCATTTCTAAATCCTCGATTTTGGCGGTACCGTTCGTCGCGGCGATGTGTCCGTCCACTAGTTTAACCGCGTCAGTGTGTCCTCTATAAACAGTATTTATAAGCAATTACCGGTTTTACATACGATTTATGCGTCTGTGAGTCGAGTAGGGCTGTGACGAAGCCAGTTTCGAATTATAACTCGACCGCTGGAGTAGTAATTCTACGCGAGCATTTTCATTGGCCATTACTCGGGTGGTTTACGGTTCGAACGGGGGGCAGCTGGTTCTTAACCGCGACGTCGGTTTGCCCACTGACAGTGTTAACTGCCATTAGTGGACTTGTCGGATCGACTGATACCCCCTCCTCACTGTGCCCGAAAAAATTTCGAACACCTGACTCGCGCTTTAGTCGTTCGTGTCGGCAGCGTGTTCGAACTCCGATAACCTTGAATCTTGAAAATCTTGAACGTCATTTGCACTGCTCACCGCATACATTGTTGCCTTATGATTTAAATTTTTCTTAGTAATTTCCGGCACTGGGTATTAAGTTTTTTTTTGACCCCTACTACAAAGGCTAGCCGTGTTGTCGCCAACGGACCACCGGGTCAAACGTCGGACGGAAATTAGCCATCGTCGGAACTGGTACGCTAATTTTGTTTTATGTAAATTTTTGTTTAATGGCGTCGGTTGAGCCTGCCTCCTATTCTTTAGCCCTTCGCAGCTGGTAAAGTATAATTTAATGTTTATGTTTTGAGCCATACCTATTTTTGCTTTTTTTAGTGCGCCGTGCCTTAAGCTCGTGTGGCGAATTTAATTTTTATTTAGGTCCTGCAACATGGCAGGCGTGTACAAGACCACCTGTCATGCTATATCTATATTTATTGTGATTTTTTTTATAGGTTTTATATTCTATTTTATTGGGTGATGAATAGGTTATTAATACAATGTGGTGACGTAGTGCATTTTATTCCGGATGTCCCAACGTCTTGTAAGCTAAGTCTAACTGCCTAAAACCAGTCGCTTACTTGAGACGTATACCCGCCGTGCTTAGCGGCAATGCCGCGATTAATAGCCGGTGGGTACCCGAAGACATTCATCGTATTCTCTAATAATAAAAGTGTAGGTGTAACTATTTTTTTATTAATATCTGTTTTTTTTTCTCTGTTCCCCTTTAAATTGTAGACGAGGTTTTTTGACCGTTCGATTTTTTGCCTCGTGTTAAATTAATTTTTTTTTACTTAATAAATTCCCTTTAATATAACTGAACCATCATATTTTTCTTTTTTTTGCGTGTTCCATCTTCAATGGACTCGTGTATTTTTTTCCTTTCAAAAATCATCTCCCCTTAGTTTATAAGGTGCCGGCAACNCTTTAGATTATAAAATACGGGCAACGGCCTTGTATAAGGTTATCTCTCATTGATATGGTTATGTGACAACTGTCACAGGGTTTTGGTGTACATCTACTATCAACGACTCAACGGACATCAACTTTAATATTAATTANTTGGCCGGAAATTCACTTCTAGTCCATATCAATAAGGTCTTTATAACAAACTGTAACCAACACTTTTAGGCCCGTTTCACACTAGCGCGTATGATACGCGCGCTGACCAAACATTGATATTGTTTGATCCATTTTTGTTGTTTTACTTTGTATGTAGTATAGTATGATAAGCGCGTTTGTCCGGTGCGTACCGGTTTCTTTTTATTGTAATATNCTCGTTTGTCCGGTGCGTACCGGTATTCTTTTTATTGTAATATTGTAGTCGAGCGATGAGCTCGTCATCGTAAAGGACGACACGACGTGCACGCCAACATGTGTATACAAAATAAAATAATATAAACTAAGTTAAAANCTGGTAAACCACAATGTACTCGCGCGGCCGCCAAACGTTATTTATGAATAATAAACTCGGTTAACGTTTGTCGGGGGCCCTGCCGCGTCGTTTTTAACTCCGTCTCGAGCGCAGTCCTGATATCGATATTGTCCAACTCCTCGAGTAATTCGGACCTAAATTCCGCCCATTGCATATTGTTTAATTTAATCGCTCACCACCAATCACCTGCCCTGTCGTTCAGAAACGGGACGACGATGTTCACCCACGCGGTTGGGAGTATACCGCCCTGACAGAGTAGATCCTTCGCTCTGTCTAGAAACTCCCGTGGGTCCTCTTCGTTTCTCCCGTAATATTCAGGTAAGCCGGCGCGTACGGTGCGCAGGTCGTGGTAAGGTACCAATACAGACCGCTAGCTGCGGGTAGACGACAAATCATTGAAAGACCGACGACCGTCGATTGTGTTGAATTGCCCCTCCCGTGGTTGGCGCGTAAACGAAAAATCGGTCGGCTCGTTCTCACATGAATGAGTGCGCGGATAATGTTCGTCTTGCCAACCCGTACTACACATCNTGAGTGCGCGGATAATGTTCGTCTTGCTAACCCGTACTACACATCAGATTCGTCGTCTGAAGTGCGTAGCGCGAGGTTCACCGGATGTTCCTCCGGTAAAGGTGCTACGCCGGGCCGCTGATATTTCGCTGACACGGTCCGTGGAGTTGTCTGAAACCCTCACTTCGGGTTCGCGGACCGGAATTTCGCTATCGACCGGCGTACGGGGCGGTAAAATTTCGGTAGCTGGATTCCTCTCTTCGTTACGTATGTTTTCCTCTAGTATAATTAGCATGTTGGGTTTCGTCGCGTGGCATGGTAGCTGTCTGAAAGTGCATTCGCAACGTAATTCAGCGCAATTTCATTTATACTAATGATTTCCCCGAAATATTGACCGTTAATATTATATGTTAATTTACAAACCTTAATAATCAAATGTAGCTACGTTGATAGCGGAGACTAACAATATCTCCGTGTACGGTCAAATTTGCTACTGCAGTAGAAAACAATAAGATGGTACGGGGCCGCCGTATATGATATGGCAGCGAGTGAACAATAATAATAGCGGTTACCTGGGAATCGGCCCCTTTGACAAGGTCAGACGAAAATATACTATTTTTATCTACCAAAATATTGTAACTATCGGCCGGAAATTCACTTCTTGTCCATATCAATAAGGTCTTTATAACAAACTGTAACCAACACTTTTAGGCCCGTTTCACACTGACGCGTACGATGTACGCGTCTTGTATTTTTTCGTCATTTTTTCATGACTTCTACCCCTAGCAAGTTCTCGGAAAATGACTCTCATTATAGACACTGAAATTTTGATAAATGAGGTTCAGTTAAGACCAAATTTGTGAAATTCAAGGTATAGGAACAGGGATATAAGAGCAGCAACCTTTAGAAAAGTAGCGCAACGTGTTGTAATGGGGTTAGATGCTATGAACAGCAACGATCAAAAAGATTCAAGTGAGTATTTATGCATGTATATTGTACACAGGCATTGTCTCCTCTGGGGGCGGGTGGTCGCTCATCCCATGAAAATGCTTCCAATAAAATATAATTATGTTTTACACCTTATCTAATCACCCTATAAATTTACAATACAAAATGTTCAATATCAATTTCATACTATTTTAATTTCTATAATATTTATTTATTCATGTATTATACTTATAAATCATAAAATTAGTCATCATGATATTATTAAGGAATTAGGGTCAATTTTTTTTTTGGTATAACCCAACAATTCCTTCTAAAAATTAAACTCAATCTACAGATATGCATCGATACGATTTTTATGATAGTAATTTTAATTAATGTCAAATATAATCTATACTAATCTCAACTATGTGGAGTCCCAACTGTTAGGGTTTTTTTTTGTCTATGAATAATAAATATATATATTTTAAAATTACCTTTATCATGGTTCAGTGGACAAAGTACAGCATAGGTGGAAAAATGCCAGGGACCAGATGAATAGCATAAAAATGTATAAAATATTACTTTTAAAAATTTTTATTTGTATGTTTATACTAAGAACAATTTTAATAAATGTTAATTATAAAAAAATGTTATTTTTTAGTTAAAATAATTTTTGTGGCAAAAACTTTTTACCAAAAGAATAAAAATCAAAGACCATTACTAGTAGTACTAAGAAGACATTTAACATAAACTTATTGAGCACATTACTTTTATTGACTTAATGAATCATTCTATCTTGCCATTCTACTTTACCAGTTTATAAAGTAATTGGCAAACTGGACCCTTAATATATTACCTGATCTATTAATACTTAATGTGTCTTCAAATCTAAATCCATCCATATTCCTGACAAAATAATGCAATATACAACAAGCTTTAACAATTTTTATAGTTAAGTTCTACACTTGTGTTCATCGATCTATGGTAAATTCGCCATTTGTGGGAAAGTATTCCAAAAGTTGATTCTATATATCTTCATGCTCGAGACTAGCGATAATTAAATACTTTTTTTTTGTAATTCAAATTGCTTTGTGCATATGGTCTAAGTAAGCTTTGAGATACACCAAAAGCTTCATCAGTAACTATTACAAACGGTAATGGATTTCATTGACCGGGTAAGGGTTTCGGTGGTGGTACAAAAAGTTCTTTATCTTCTAGTTTTTTGTAAAATTTTGTTTTTTTAAAAAGTGTTGAATCACAACACTCTCCTTGAGCTCCCACATCAATAAAAGGAAAACAATAATTTGCATCACAAATGGCCATAAGAACTATTGAATAGTAATGTTTGTAATTATAAAAATCTGATCCAATCTGGATTGGTTTAATTAAGCGAATATGTTTTCCGTCCAAAGCGCCGATGCAATTTATAAAGTTAGCATCGTTTTCAAAACCCAAAGCAATTTCTTTACATTTTTGCTGATCCGGCAAAGGCATAATTTAAGATTTAAGTGACCATAATTCGCTGCATAAATTTTCTACTATTTTACTAATATTAGATATTCCCATTCTATAGGAGTAATGAAGGTCTGTGAATGAATTACCCGATGCTAAGTATCTATAAATACGAGCTAATTAAAATATTACGTCAGTATTTATTCAAAAAACGTTAGTATGATTTCTGAGTAATTACAAATACTGTTAGATTTTCCCCACCTAATATCGTGTTTTAATAATAAAAATTTCAAAATGTGAATTGTCAATATTATTAATTTTTTTAAGTAAAAAAAATTACTTTTATTAAACCCTTAATATTTTCCTATAGAAAAAACATCAATTCCCCGTCATTTTATTGATAATTATTAGGTAGTTATTATAAAATTAGCTCCTTAAATAATTTATTTTAAGTAATATTTATTACTTACCTTAATGTTATGCACAGCCTTTCTGTCGAAGAAGTAGGTATGCGAATGTTACTATTTACTACGTTTAGCCCCTTTTCTAACTTTGAAAATAATTCATAAAAAAATTTTAACGACATTCTGAAATAATTAAAACATTTCTCTTCGTGGTCTCTTAATTCAGAAAAAAGGGTTGCAAAGCGCCATTAAGAGGTCTTTGAACCAGCATAGGGTGAACCCAAAATCGTCTATTTTTTTTTTATTTTGTAAGTATTCTTTTTTAAAATGTGCCTGTAGGCCGCAAAAGCCAACATACATCTTATCTGTTGGACATTCATTTTGAAAATAAATAAAAATCGCTATAGCAAAAGCGCGGTATAGTGTGAAAAAAAAAAAAAAAAAACGCTGCGCATACAAAAATATACGCGCTAGTGTGAAACAAGCCTTAAACGACAATACTATAAAAGAAAATTTTTCCAGGGACCAGGCTAACAATCTAATCCCCCAAACATGTAACTGTGAATAACCCAGGTAAAAATTCACTGCTGTCACCAGTGAAATCCGTTCAAATAACTATATGAACTATCAAATTTGTGAGTGAGACTTCATCGTTAAAACTAAAATCTAATATAATTAGAAATAAAACTGAATCGGCTCAAAGCTTCTTACCTTAACTTCTCTCGGCCGGTTGAGATTCCTCTTCGGTGAGCCAGTTAACGCGTATCCAAATGGTACGGCACTCAAGGTATATATGTATAAATATAATATATTTATGTCTATGTGTATATATATTTACACAAGCACAACAGTAAAAACAAAGAAATAACGTCGTAAGACAATAGTTGATTAATATTATATTAGATATTTTCCTTAATTCGAACAATGTTATACGTATGTAACAATGGGCAACTACCCTTCTGTCGTCGGTAATATCGGTAATGAGCTCACTCGCCGCAATCCAAAAAAAAAAAAAAACACGGAAAAACAATGAAACACAAACAGCACACAAGAAAAAGGCAAACCAGTTAAGGTCAATATCGTGAGAGACAGTGGAGAGCGCCAGCCTAGAGCGACGGGCGGTGCCGTGTCAATGTAAAATATATATTTAATATTTTATAAACAAATATTGTTCATACTATTTGTAATTATCATATTAACCGATTAGAACGTTAATAATAAAAATAACTGACATGTAATAAAATAATATTTTTCAGAAATTTTTGATTTAGACATAGTGTTTATATTAATCAATTCATTTGATGGCGTTTAATAAAATGAATAATAGATTTGATTATATTAGTGTATTATTTATCCATATTCTACAAATTACTTACACACATGATGTCTTAAGAATAATCTTACTTCAATTTTTTGTTTGTACATGTTTGTAAAACAAATCTGTACAGATATTTAATAATTCTATTCTCATCTACAAAGGAAATGACATCTCCATGATTTAAAATTTGATAATCATATGGGTTATTGGGAATTCGCACACAATTTACATAAGTTTCATTATCTGTTCCCTGTAGTACAGATATTGTTGGTCAACTTAGAATTAATTATTCTCTTTGATAGCTTAATTAATATAAACATGCAATAAAAATTTTAAGACTTACATTGAGAGATATAATATATTGGCCATTGAATTTATTTATAAAACAATGCCGTCTTGAAATAGATTCTTCTTCAATTACTAGTGAAGAGGCAGGAGAACTTCCAATAACAAACTGAAGAGTTATAATACATCAATTTAACCATTTTAAAGAAAAATGAATTATATTGTAAAATATAAAACAAAGTTAAGATGGCTTAAAGTTAATATAAATATTATTTTCATATAAAAATATATGTATTTTTAATAGTTCATCTTAACACTTAAATTTATTTTATTTCCTAAAGAAAAAATCTACCTCAGTCTCTCCAATTGGATAGATAGTGCCACTAGCCAAGTTCTGTAATGTCGCATTACAAGTTAAGTCAGAACAACTATTACTTCTTTTTAAACTCATCGTGTTTTTATCACTTTTAAGATTTAAGGTATTCAGTTTCAAATCTATTATATAAATACACTTTAAAGTAATTTGTTTTGAATTAAAAACATTCGAAACTATGGTAGCAGATGTTGATTACATACTGATAATACAAAATAGAACAATTTTAAAAAATTTTTAGAAAATAATAATGATAAAAACAAATAAATAACTGGAGTCAATTTTGATGAACAATGTGTCAAAGATCATAAATCGTATCTAGTCGAACACATTACCCTCAAAAATTGAAAAAAATTCTCTCGTTCCCCGCAAACGGGGGAAATCACCCAAAAAATTACAAATTTAAAAATCGCTAATTTTCGAAATTTTTTCAATTTTTTTACTTAAAATTGCCATAACTTATTTAAAAATGAACGAATAAATATAATAGTTTTTTGTATTGAAACTTTAGATATTTCCCTTTCATTTGATATAATTTTTTTTGAAAATATAACACTTATTTTGCTCATTGGGGGGGATTTAATATAGTAACTTTTTTACAAAAAATAACTTTTTCAACTTAATTTTTGAAAATGTTCCGGAAATACTGCGTCCTTTAAACATATATAAAATTAAACCTTATGTCATGCACTATAAAATTAAAAAAAAAAGTTTATCCCGACGACGTATCTTCTATGCGCAAATGGCTACCGTATTCAAAAATATGCTATTTTAACAAATTTTTTTTTTTTTAATTAAACACTATCTATAGATTAGCATCGAAGCGTTTTTAATCACTATCAGATATCATCTAAACTGGACCCAACTATGCCACGACCCTTGAAACGTTTCTACGTTTAATCTCTTTTTATTTGTTTTTTTTACTAACTTTAAATATGAAAATACAACACAAATTGTTCGAATAATCGATTTGTTCTGTTTTATTTTAAAAAAGATGATTATATATATATATATTAAACAGCTAACTACCATATCAGTCTTATTTTAGAAACTATTTAATTTTGGGGTGAAGTAGAAGTATAACCCTCTGGATCACGGTTGGTAACGAATAGTTACGAACACCGTTGCAAAAGGTTAAGGGAATTTTTACAAAAAAGACAGTTATCTCGATCACGGTTGATAACACGGAGGTTATGATCACCATTGAAGATTAACTGTATTATGTAAGTGGTGGAATCTAACCCTTTGGATCACGGTTGATAAAGCGTTTATTACGAGCACCGTTGCAAAGGATTAAAGAGGAATATTTAGGAAAAGCTAGTAATCTTGATCACGGTTGATAACACGATGGTTATGATCACCGTTGAAAATTATATATGTAATAAGAGTTAAGATATAAGGAAAAAATAAAGAAAACTTACTCAATGGAAAGATGAATGGATGAAGACTAGTCGGTAATTGATATTGCGATCACTAGTAAAACGACACAAAGAAAAGAAAAACTAATGGAAAAACTATAAGTATTCTTAGAGAATAATTGTACAAGTAGTGACGGTGTACTTTATGCTACCCGTCACTACCTGAGTAGTGTAGAACGATTGCCCACCTATAATTAATTTTTTTAATTCCCTCCAAAAAACCAATATATATTCTAATTTCCCACTTCATTCCCGAGTTCTCGTTAAGACTGATATGTAACATAAAATAACCATTACGATAAGTATAATAAAAAATAAAAAAAAATAAATATATTAATTTACATTCTTTTGAATAAAGGTTGTCAAACAGCGTTGTCCAGCGGACTTTCTTGCAACTGTCAACCAATGCTAACGCTGTAGCGTAACGCTACACCCTACTGTGCCGCCACCTCACTGTGCTGGGTTTTTTTTTTACTTAAAATTGCCATAACTTATTTAAAAATGAACGAATCAATATAAATTTTTTTTTATAGATACCTTAGATATTTACCTATCATTTTATATATTTTTGTGAACATTTGACCCTTTAACAGACCACAGAAATGGTTTCAAAAGGATAACTTTTTTACAAAAAATTGACTCTTTCAACTTGACTTTTGAAAATGTTCCGGAAAGACTGACACTTTTATATATATATCTTAAATTAAAGCTTATGTAATATACTTTAATTAAAAAAAAAATTTGACCTCTGGATTTGTCTTAAATACAATGTAAAATACACGCTTGGGGTACAAGGGTCCATTTGGCGTATGGCAAGAAAATGTTTTGCATTTTTTCTTAATTCTTTTTTAGTTAGAATAAATTTTCTAATTAAACTCGTTTGATTTTTATCTCATGTACTTTCAATAACTTCAATCAAGATCAAGGATCCCATCACTTTAGTCGCGTAGTCATATTAAAACTATTTTACTAGATTTTAGATTTTAGCTTCGATGCATAACTGAGAAGGTATTTGTTTGTAACTATTATTTATTTTCTCTGCTCTAACTTGACCTATATTTTTCAATGATACGTCAAATGATTACAATTAGTTACCCTCAAAAATTGAAAAAGAAATTCTAATTTATCAATGAAACAGTTACTTATCCCATGTTCTCCATACAGATAATTAAAATCATTCATTTCTAATGTTTTCAGAGTATTTATTGACGAATCAAGTTTGAAATAATTATTTTATATGATAGGTTTCAACTACAAAATTAAATCATTTTACTTTGTAATTTAATAATTTTTTTACTTTATTTGTGTGTGCTACTTCTAGACTATATAATTTTTTGGTAACATGTAGCTATATAAATCATTTCTAAAAAAAATGATTGTTAGTTTCTCCTAATTTAACAATGGATTTTTACAATTATAATCAAATTTTATAGTACGCTATTGAGTTTTTAACCAGTTTTTTAGCTTCGATGCGAAACTGAGAAGGTATTAATTTTACTATGATGTGTTTATTTATTATTTTTTTATTTTTTGTGTCTGTTACCACTTTTTCTCAGCTCTCACTGGACCGATTTCTTTCAACAATACATCAAAAGATCAAAAATTGTATCTAGTTGAAGACATTACCCTTAAAAATTGAAAAATTTTCCCTCGTTCCCCTAATGGGGAAAATGTCAAAAAAAATTACAAATTTAAAAATCGGTAAATTTTGTCATTTTTTTCACTTTTTTTTCTTAAATCTTCTATAACTTCTTCAAAAATAAATTAATCAACATAATTTCTTTTTATACTAAAATCTT